AAAAAATACGCTGTCCATTGGAAAACCTGCATCAGATATGACAACATGTCGAGTTCGAAATGATCGAGGAATTAAAACGTATTAAGAACCGAAAGATATCATTTCGTGACCCATGCATTTTAAAGACAACGCAATTTGCCAGTATATGTGTATAAAGGAATTTTTGCTTTTCTATCTTCTATAAAATATATTTGAATGTACAGAAACGATGAACCGCAGGCCAAAACTGAATAATGTTTTAAAAAAAAAACAGAAAACCACCTTCATTTGAAATGTGGAATTTGAAGGGATAGTATTTTTCGGCAAGGGTTTCCTTGGTATCGACGAATGTTCTTATTTATATTAACATTCGCACTCAATGACTTTCTGTTAGGGTTAGGGTAAGTATTGGGGTAAGTTTTAGGCTAAAGGTTAGTGTTAGTGTTAATGTGGGGTAGATATATTGTATGTAAATGGCCCAATTTTCTGGCTAACGGGAAGCGTGGGAGTAGGCATGTAAATATATATAAGAAAATTCGTCACTACCAAGGAAACCCTTGCCCATTTTTCAACCAGAAAACATATTTGAACTTGCGAAGAAATCGAAAATCGACGGGAAACATTCAGATTTAGAAAAAAACTCTTTCTAACAGGGTTTAGCGTCTGCAAGTGCCTCGTCTAAAAGCCGGCATCACAACATGGCTGACATTATTTGGGATTATGTCGCTCTCTTCTAACCGTAAACAAATTTCAGAATTTCGATTAACATTTCATAAGATTGCACATTTACTGTGCATGCGGTAGCGATACGCCACCCAAAGGTTTAAACTTGCGCATAGGGGAAAGCACGTCTTTCACTGATGTACGATGTTACCTGTGACTGGACCTTCCGAACAAAGGAAATGCGCATTTTCATGCATCTAACTGCAAAGCAAGCGACAAATGCAAAAGCTTGCTATAATCCACCTGGTGTTGTGAGGGCGAAAAAATGGATGATATGTTAGGGTTCCTTGTCTATCATCAGATAAATATTCCAAATTTATGAAGCGAACAATGTGATGCAGAGAAACAACCAGCATAGTAAATGCGGAATTTGTATCGGCGCAATAACAAGTTACTGCTTGTAATGTTTGCATAAACAACATGCAAGATGGTCAGAAAATCTGAACAAAGGTGCATATGAGAAGCTGAAGAGGCTATGTAAATTGTGTTTGTCGCGAAGGATGCCGTCCGCAAGATAAGCCACCGAAAGACGACCACAGCACAGGTGACTTTTGCATGAAGTAAATCGTACTGAGACAACCGGTCGGACCATTATTTCCGGCAAGACCACGTCAGCTGATGCTATAAGAGAAACGTGGGTCTTACGTGTTTGGGACTACAAACAGATGTCATGGCGTAGGAGCCATTGGAGCCAGACCCTCAATCCTCTAGTAACTCCAACAGTCTCTTACGATAACCGTCTTCTTCCATCAGTTGGCAACTCGCCAAGTCACGACTGTTAGCGCGTCAAAAAGCCTCCGAAACATCATATGCCGTATTTGCGTGACTTCCCCAATGTCGGCTAAACCCCAGTACGCGAGTAATCTTTTAATTTACCAAACCAGCGTTTTTTCCCGAGAAATATATTCTTGCCAACTCGGCCATTAATCCACACTGTTAAATCCGTTAGTAATTATCTAATTATATGCGACCTTTGGGATAAAATCTATTACAAGTAGACTGAAAGAGACGTCTGGAAACCGAAACTTCATATTCTATACAGTGAGTAATACTCTTGAACATTGTACGATTTCACAAAATGTTAACCAATATTCTGAATTTCTGAAGTTGCGTTGGCGTATTGATTACTGCACAACACAATCCGATTACAGTTTAGATACACAAAGATGCCAGAAAGTACACTCCTGGATAAAAAATAACCGCTTAACTTGCACGAATTTAGATTCTTTTAATTTTCCGTAAACTCACAATTTGAAACATGTTTTATAGAAACTTAAGCCAACATATTTTCCTATTGTACTCATTTAATATCCAACTACGACTTCATTGACTATTTTCTTTTAAAGTGCTATGAAAGTTTCCAATTTGGAGATCGGCTAAGACTGTACAGTGCCTTTTAAATCACATGCTATCTGTTCCTTTATTAATTCTTTTTATGAAGTATACGATATAGTCCAAGGCGCTTTCAAAATTCCATGAGTGTCATTTAGTGCTCTACCAGTTTTTTTGGGAAAATTAATCGAAAGGGACGCAGATTGTAAACCACAATTGCAGATCGGGGTCAAAATTTCGGGAATTATAAACAGTTTATACTGTTACTCTATACTTTTTGAATATAACGTTTAAAAAAGCCGCAAGTCGCTATCAGAGGAGAGGAAAGAGAATAATTGTACCTACGCCTTTTATGCATACATTTACATCTATTAGGGAATCGAAAACCGATGGAAAACGCGCGTGCTACTCAATTGGTCCACCATTATTGCGTGTAGTTTTTGCAGGCCGCTGGAAAGGCCTTTATTCAAAGGCTTAAGTCCTGTCGTATCTAAAATATCATAGGTTTAGGCTGGAAGATACCAATCTTACAGCTCCCGTTAAGCAATATTCTCTAACCGAAAACACATTTCTGAATTTTGGTCAACATTTCATGACGTCGGTCACGCAATAGAACCAACCGCACCGAGGCTGTGTAGATTGGCCGCAGATTAGGCCTAAACGGTTGGTTAAAACAAAATTTTTAAACACAATTCCACTAACTGAGAACATCCTAGTAATAGGCAAACATCCACAGGCAGTAACACTGCGTTGACGATCCACAGATAAGGTATACTCCATAAGTTAGAAAACTAGTGAATAAACCGATAAAAGTACTTCCTCATCCGTCATTTCGAGTGTCGTCTGTTCTATTCTTCAGTAAGGCTCTCAGGCGTTAATATTGAAACCCAGTTTCCACTGAAAAACACATATTACAGTCTTACAAGCCAATGGATTTTCTGGTTTTCTAAGCCATTTAATTTTTTCATGTTTCTGTTATGCATCACTTCAAATGCATACAAATGCTTAAACTTCGACAACTCCAGAGCATTTGGGTAACTGTGAGTACTTTTAAATGTTTTGGCCATTTTTTATCGCTATTCGGCAGGTCTTTAATAGTATCATTGTATGTTTAAGAAAAAAAGCACTTAATATGTCAGTTTCCCTTGAGAATTTCCACGCAACGAACTTCATATTCATTCAAGGTAATAATTGAGTGAAACGACTGGTGGAAAATAAGCCGGGGTGTATTCCCAGCAATCCAGGTTCTGCATGAAATTTTACGTGCCCAACCATAAATTTAGCGTCTTATGAGGTCAAATCCCTTCTTTTAGGAGATTCATACTGCCTACAACCAAATCCCATCATGACCCCAGATGCACTGACAGAAAAGCAAGCAACTGACCAGCTGAAAATTTCCTACTAGGGAATGGACAACTAAAAAATTAACTTGTAGAGATCGATTGGGCTGATTGAAGCATGGCTAAAAGAGTAATAACAGTTTGTTTAGCCATACCAGGTCACAAATACGTGCTTGGCAATAATTTTCTAGGAATATATATTCTCAGGAAGAGTATGATATTAAGTCTACAGCCAATGCGGTTTTTAATTTGCGATTGAATTTAATGGAGAACTGATTTAGTCAAGTAAATTATGAACCCTTTTTGAAGAAGCCACGAACGACGCGTTGATTACCATATCAGAAAAGAACATTTAGCTGGCTTCGCTGAGTTTTTTGAAAATGAATATTTACCCACGGAGTTTTCATATAAACTTGTAAGAATGGTATCATTGAGCCATCAGCATCTGTGGCCTAAGCTAAATGAGTTTCTATGTGCATATAAATATACGTAATGGCAACATGAAAGGACGAGTGTGTCTTCTACCAGATCGGCGTACGCGTATTTGCTACATAAGTATGTTTGAAATACATATTTCAATGCATAAGTATGAACTTCGAGCAGAGTGTCTTGCTTTATGCTCGGCGATGGTGAAAGTGTACGATTTGCGAAAGTTTCTCGCGAGAACACTTATTCTTTTTGCACTTATATCGGAGCACCAGGATTCTAACAATGTCTATGCAGGTGAAAGATATCCATATACGCATATTCACTTTACTCAGCATCGGACAATGAGCTGGGGGTCTAGTATCGAAAATGTAAGCAATACATTTTATTACCCGAAGAGCGTATTCGTCTTCAACTTACAGTCCTATGCCTGGCTTTCAATATATTTGTATGTGGTGGCAGAAAGACGTACAGCGATTAGTTAGAGGACACACTCGTCCCTCATGGTGCCTGTGGAGTTCACACTCATTCATCTGTATGTTAGCGCAAAAGAACTAGCGCGAATCCGCTGTAAAAG